CATTGCACTCCAGCCTGGGTAACAAGAGCAAAACTCCGTCTCAAAAAAAAAAAAAAAAAGTATATACAATATCCTAATTTTGTTTAAAATGAAATATGAGTGTGTGTGTGCGCGCATGTGTGCCAAAATCAACGGGGAAAAAGACTGGAAGAAAATATTTCCAAATGGGTTATCTCTGGATCATTGCACTACAGGAGTTGTGTTTTCCAATAATAGGCATATATCACTTTGTCACCAGAAAAAAATATATATATCTATTTTTAAATTAACTTCCTCCTATGCTAACAGGACTGCCTGGTATTTTGTCACCTACAGGCATTCCTGGATCGTTTCATCCTCTTACAATTCCCTTAGGTCCCTGTGGCCTGCTTCAAAGTTATGGGGAAAAAGTACCCGTAAGACGTCCTTGTCATCTCTCAGTACAACCCAAGATACTTGGTTTTAGCATGTGTATATTTATGTTTTTGAAATAGAATGGAGCAGCCAATCCACCACCCCTAGCTTACTTGAATCACTGTAATGGTGTAAGACGTTGACCACCACCTTTGGAGGTGTGGCCTGCAGACCCAGTCTCAACGATGGATGAATGAATGCACTCTCATAGCATTACAGTGATTCAAGTGAGCTAAGAAATGTCGTTGGCTGCTTTTAGAGGGCGAAATGCAACCAAACGACCATGATTCCCTATACCTCCACACCTTTATTCATAACAGAGGTTCTAAGTCAGGCGTCCCCAGACTTTTTACACAGAGGGCCAGTTCACTGTCCCTCAGACCGTTGGAGGGCCGCCGCATACTGTGCTCCTCTAACTGACCACCAGTGAAAGAGGTGCCCCTTCCTGAAGTGCGGCGGGGGCTGGATAAATGGCCTCAGGGGGCCGCATGCAGCCCGAGGGCTGTAGTTTGGGGATGCCTGTTCCAAGTCAACCTGCTTGTGGATAATTAACATGATTAAAAGTGGTTTTATGAATGATAAAAGCTTTAGGTTCTGGGCCCAGATAAAATGTTATTAACGGGTAATTTCCCTTTGATATCCCGGTGAGAGTGTCATCCAGCCCAAAGTTTACATGAGGAAACTGTGTAGAGACAAAAGGAGGTGGGGTAAACAGACTTAAACAGGGAAAGCCTTTCCTATGTTAATGTAAATGAGGCGGCTGCTTTTAGCCTGTCCCAATAAAACCTTTCGGCCTTCCAAAAGGTTTGAGACTAATCTATAACTTTCCCTAATATTTCTTTAATATTTGCCAGACACCCTGAGTGAATCTCAACAGAATGGGAGAATGTTTCTAAAATTCTCTCAAATAATTTTTATTGCTTTTTCTTCTCAACAGCCCCATTTTTTAAGTAGGTCTGGATTATTAAGCAAGAATAGATGCTGAGAGTCTCCTAGTTTCTTGTTTAGTCTTTCTTTACTTTCTGCATTTTCTACTGACCATGAAGTTTTTAGATGTTGGATTTAATCATGGTTCTGCTGGGTTGGAGATGTATATGTTTAAATTTGGACATCTCTCTTCCAGAATTACAAAATCTCCAGGGAAAAAAAAAAAAAGAGTTCACTGCAAGGCTTAATGCTTGGCAGAAATCATTGCTACCTTTTGCCTAGTAAAAATTCCCCAGGTGTTCTTTCTTAGGGCTTGTTCCTGGAGACTCTTAAACTGTTTTGCGGAAATGGGGTTGGCAGGTTAAGTGAGTAAAGGTGTGTCTGCCTGGGAGTGGTCTACAGCCCTGGTGTGAGCTTCCTCCTGCTTCAGAGGTGCTGGGCTCTAGCCAGGGCCTGAGCCTGAAAGAGGCCTGCTATGGCATTCCAGTAACATCTGCCAGATTGCAGCAAGACCTTTCACTGGTGGGCTCTTCCCCTGCTGGGATCCTTCAACTCCACCACTCCTCTCCATCCTCACGGCCACCATGGTGGTACAAGCTCTCACACCTCTTGCCTGGACCACAGCAGTGACCTCCAGCTGAGCTCTGTCTCCCCTTGCCCTTACTTCCAGTCTGGTTTTCCACAGGAGCTAGTATGTCCTATTCTATTGCTGCTGTAACAAATTACCACAAAATCAGTGCCTTAAAACAACACAAATTTACTATTTTAAAAGTCCTGACAGCAAGGCTTTGGCAGGGCTGCGTTCCTTCTGGAGGCTCTAGAGGAAAATGGTTTTGTTGCTTTTGCCAGCTTCCAAAGGCTGCATTCCCTGGCTCAGGGCCCCTTCCTCCTCTTCGAAGCCAAATCTTTCTTGTGCCGTATCACTCTGAGGCTCCTCTTCTGAAGTCACATCTCTCCTGCTTCCCTCTTATAACGACACTTGTGATTACATTGGGCCCACCTGGATAATTTCCCCTCTCAGGACCCTTAGCTCAATCACATCTGCAAGTGTCCCTTTTACCATGTTAGGGAACATACGCACAGCCTCCAGGGATTCAGACATAGACATCTTTGGCAGGGCCATAACTCATCCTACATAGATAATCTCTTTTTTTTTTTTTTTTTTTGAGATGGAGTTTCATTCTTGTTGCCCAGATTGGAGTGCAGGGGCACAATCTTGGCTCACCGCAATCTCCACCTCCCAGGTTCAAGCGATTCTCCTGCCTTAGCCTCCCGAGTAGCTGGGATTACAGGTATGTGCCACCATGCCCAGCTAATTCTTTTTTTTTTTTTTTTTTTTTTTTTTGAGACAGAGTTTCGCTCTTGTTACTCAGGCTGGAGTGCAATGGCGCGATCTCGGCTCACCACAATCTCCGCCTCCTGGGCTCAGGCAATTCTCCTGCCTCAGCCTCCTGAGTAGCTGGGATTACAGGCACGCGCCACCACGCCCAGCTAGTTTTTTTGTATTTTTAGTAGAGACGGGGTTTCACCATGTTGACCAGGATGGTCTCGATCTCTCGAACTCGTGATCCACCCGCCTCGGCCTCCCAAAGTGCTGGGATTACAGGCTTGAGCCACCGCGCCCGGCCTAATTCTATATTTTTAGGAGAGGCAGGGTTTCTCCATGTTGGTCAGGCTGGTCTGGAATTCCTGACCTCAGGTGATCTGCCCACCTCAGCCTCCCAAAGTGCTGGGATTATGGGCATGAGCCCCCTCGCCCAGCCCATAGATAATCTTTTAAAAGCACACATCTAAATGCGTTACTCCTCTGCCTAAGACCCTTGCGTGGTTCTCCAGTTCTCCAGGTTTAGGGCTCGAACTCCCCTTGTGGCAGTGAGCGTCATGCAAGGGTTGTCACACTGCTTCTTCAGCCTTACCCTGCATCCTCTCCCTGCTGACTGCCCACAGTCCAGCCTGTATATGGGGTGTGCTTTTGACCAGGGACCCTGCTTGATACGGCTTCGATGTGTGCCTCCTCCAAATCTCATGTTGCCAGCACTGGAGGTGGTGCCTGGTGGGAGGTGTTTGGGTCATGGGGCTGGATCCCTCTTTAATGGTATGGTGCCCTCCCTGAGATAATGAGTAAGTTCTTACTCTGTTCAGGTGAGAGCTGGTTGTTTAAAGGAGGCTTGGCACCTCCTCCCCTTTCTTGCTCCTTCTTGTGCCATGTGACACGACAGCTCCCCCTTTACCTTTTGCCATGATTGTAAACATCCTGAGGCCTGACCAGAAGCCAAGTAGATGCTGGTGCCATGCTTGCACAGTCTGCAGAACTGTGAGCCAAATAAACCTCTTTTCTTTTTCTTTTTCTTTTTTTTTTTTGAGATGGAGTCCCACTCTGTTACCCAGGCTGGAGTACAGTGGTGTGGTCTCTGCTCACTACAACCTCTGCCTCCCAGGTTCAAGTGATTCTTCTGCCTCAGCTTCCCAAGCAGCTGGGATTACAGGGGTGCACTACCACACCTGGCTAGTTTTTGTGTTTTTTGTAGAGACAGGGTTTCACCATGTGGACCAGGCTGGTCTCAAACTTCTGACCTCAGATCATCCACCCACCTCAGCCTCCCAAAGTGCTGGGATTACAGTCATAAGCCACTGCACCTCGCCTTAAACTTCTTTTCTTTATAAATTGCCCAGCCTCAGGTATTCATTTAGAGCAATGAAAAATGGACTAACATATTGCTGCTCCTCATACTCCATCTCAGGCCTTCCTCTAGACAAGGTCAGGCCTCCTTGAGATGCTCTCACAGGGACTGCATGCAATTCCGCTATCACACCTATCACAGATTAACATCTTTGCATTTATTTAGGTGATTATTTGACTAATAATAAATGTTCTTATGTAAGTACTCCATACAGGCAGAGACCATGTCTATTTCTTATCCACAATTGCATCCTTGGCACAGTGCCTGGCATGCAACTGTGGGCAAGAAATTATATGGTTAGTAAGTCCTTGAAAATAAGTGCGTAAATGAATGGGTATTAACAGCATTGTCATCGTGGTCTCTTTTTCCCTGCTTTTTCTTCTGCATGGCATTTGTCTCCTTTTCTATTATTGCCTCCCTCCACTAAAACAGAATCTTCATGAGACCAGGGACTTTGTTTATTTGCTTCTCTCTTCCCAGATCCTAGAGCAGTGTCTGGTTCATAACAAACACTTGATGAATTTTTAGGGAATGAATGTCTGCAGGATGCTGAGAACCTCTCACAGAGTTTCATATTTGACCCCTCTTTGAAACTGGGTATTATAAAGTTCTTCATTTTAATGATTTGACATAATTCAGTAATCAGGCAAATTGGCAGAGACCTAAAATATTTACCTGTTGTTGTGAGGATGAAATAAGTAAACAAGTATAAGTTTTTTAGAGCAGTGTCTGGTAACCACAGCCCTGTGTAAGAGTTTGCTGCTGCTGTTAAGAAATGCTTGACTTCTTGATATCTTAGAGTTTTTGCTGACTCTGCTGCCTGTGTTGGGATCCCAAGCAGAGACTGTTTGTGGCCCAGCAGGTTATTGGCACTGGGTAAGTCCTCCTGGCTCTTGTCCCAGGACCTGGACCCAGGTCTTCCAGCTGCCTGAGGATAGGAGGGGCTTCAGGCAAATGATTGGCGCCCTCACTTATGTTTTGTCTTTGTTTGACCTGCAGATGGCAGCACACCCTGGCCCACCTGGCAGTCCCTAAGGATGGACAGCAGAGAAACAAGAAAATGGACTCCCTGGCTGCTGGAGAGTTGAATGCCAGCCACCAGCCATGAGTGAGTGGAGAGCCTGACCACAGTTTTTCTCTTACTTGTTCTGCATTATTTGTGTTTTGGTGTATGAATTGGTATAAATCACGTGTTCAATTTTGAGGCCATTTGTTTTTTGCGGTTTATTTACAAAAACAAAAAACAGTAGCAATGAAACCAGAATTCTTCCTGGAATGTTGCAGAGAGTATGAGGAACAAGGGCACCTCCTCTGCATTGTCAGTGTGACTTCCCTTCCCTTCTGCGTCTTGGGCCTGTCCCCTTTGCCATCCAGGGAGGAGGTATCCACCCAGAATAGTTCAACCAGTGTGTGACAAGCTGGGAGTGTGAAGTGTTCTTTTTGGGAACCCTTCGGTCCTTCTTCCAGTTGCTCCCAGAGTAGACTGCTGCTCAGGCCTTGCAGCCCCTTGGTGGACTTCTCCTGCTGACCCTCCCTTCCTCTCACCCATATTAATTTCACAGCTCTATCTTATATATCTCAAGATCCTATTTGTGCTGCATTCCGAGCACTTGAATTGGGATTGTTTATTTTCTATTTTGATCACATTTGTTAGCTTTGTGCTCAGAAGAAAATAATTTCCATTTCATAAATGGGAATAAGCACTTATGTCAAGGGCCATGACATCATTTCTTGGCGTCCATTGAGGAGTCTAGTGAAGAGCTGCCCTGAATTTCAGTACCTTTCAAGGTCTCTCTTGAGAGAATGTGGAATTCATTTGGGTGGAGGCTTGTGCAGGGACTTTCTTCTGAGTGTATTTGGGCAGTGGGCTGGTGGGGAAGCAAAGGCATGGACCAGAGACAGGAACGAGGCAGAAGGAGAAGCTGGGGCTGCAGGATGCCATCTGCTGTTTGTACAGCTTCCCATGGCTGTATGAACCCACCGTAGTGGCAACAGGGCACTGCCGGGAATCCTTTGTGTGGCTGTTGCTTGCTGTTGGGTGACATGATTCAGAGCTGTGTAGCTCCACGTCCAGTTCTACTCTGCGTCTCACTCACAAAGCTCTGGCATTGGGCTGTTGGTTTTTAGTGAAAGCAGGTGCTGTGATGAATGTATTGCAGGACAAATCAGTCCCTAAGGGACTTTGATAGACACAGTCCTAAAAACATTTCCGGGCTGGTTTCTTTTCTTTTCTTTTTTTTTTTTAACACCAGTTAACCGTTTTCAGTTTAACTGTGTTTTCCTTCCTGAAACCTTTGAGACTAATTGGTATGATTTTTTTTTTGTATGCTTTTTTTTTTTTTTTTTTTTGAGACAAAGTCTTGCCCTGTTGCCTGGCTGGAGTGCAGTGGCATGATCTCAACTCACTCCACCTCCCAGTTTCAAGCAATTCTTCTGTCTCAGCCTCCTGAGTAGCTGGGACTACAGGTGTGCACAACCACGCCCAGCTAATTTTTTTATATTTAGTAGACAATGTTTCACCACATTGACCAGGCTGGTCTCAAACTCCTGACGTCATGATCCGCTTGCCTTGGCTTCCCAAAGTGTTGGGATTACATGAGCCACAGCGCTAGGCCTGTATATATTGTTTTTAGGGAGTTTCTCTACTCTTCAAGTCTGCCTTGGAGAGACAGATGAAATTATTTTTTTTTTTCCCACACAGACCAAGCATGCAGAAATGGGAATGATTTAAGTTTGTCTTTAATTTAATTTTTTTTATCTTTCTTTTCCTTTCCTTGGGAAATAAAGGAAGTATTTGGGGGCATTTTCAACAAATTGTAACTTGCAACTTCACTGGAGCCTGTCAGCTGGAATTTCTTTGCATGTTTTAATGCCTGTTTGGGGGAGACATGAAAAGACAACAGACAGTTGCCCTAGAGGATCCTTTGTTCTGGTTGGGGAGTCAAAACTTTGTTCCTGCCTGTAAGTAACACCAAATACTTGAGCCTCAGGGGCAGGTCTCATTGTGAGTGCCCAGTTGTCAGTGCCTAGAAAAACCCAAGTCAGGGAAGACTGTGAGACCTGCCCCTGGGGCTCTAGTAAATTCAGAGAGAAAAGAAGGTAGATGGTGTTTCCAGGCACACAGATGTGAGAAGGTGTAGGAAGCACCTGGGCCCAACCTGACCTTTATTTGAAGGAGTGCAGAGAGATTATATTGGGCAGGTTGGTTAATCAGATTTTAGTGGTGTTGGAGTTTGCCTATCAAGCCAAGGAGTTTGAATTTGATACCATAAAGAATAGGAAGCACGGTTGGCCCTCCATACCAGCAGGTTCTGTGGATATGGAGGGCTGACTGTGCTATGCCATTTTTTGTTTGTTTGTTTTTTGTTTTTGAGATAAAGCCTCACTCTGTCACCCAGGCTGGAGTACAGTGGTGCGATCTTGGCTCACTTCAACCTCCACCTTCTGGGTTCAAGTAGTTCTCATGCCTCAGCCTCCTGAGTAACTGGGATTACAAGCGCATGCCACCACACTTGACTAATTTTTGTATTTTTACTGTAGATGGGGTTTCACCAGGTTGATGAGGCTGGTTTTGAACTCCAGACCTCAAGTCATCCCCCCACCTCGGTTTCCCAAAGTGCTGGGATTACAGGCATGAGCCACTGTACCCACCCCTGTACCTTTTTTTAAATAAGGGATTTGAGCATCATGGCTTTTGGTATCTGAGGGGATGTCCTAGAACCAATCCCTTGAAAATGCTGAGGGACAACTGTAGTAGGCTTTTGAACAGGGGGCAGACAACTGTTTTAAATAGAAACTTGTATTTCTACTTTACATCTGCTTTTCAAATAATGTCTTTTCAAATAGTTCTCCAAGGTCACACAACTGGTGGATGGGGGCTGGTTCTGCCAGACTCCAGAATCCATGCATACGCTTGCTCCTTCACTGGCTTGCATTATCTTCAGACACAGGTTGGCTTGCATGTGACCAAGGCTCCACTCAGCCCTGACCTCGTATGACTCTGAGTCTATACATAGCTGCATTTGCGTGTCAGCCTCACTCCCTGGGCTGAACTGTTTATAGGGTGAAAGGGGACTTTGGGTAAGTCACTTCCCTGTCTTTCTGAGGCTCTAAGAAAGCAGGGGCAGGAACTCAGCTAGGCCTCCGTGGTCTGCACTGCAACAGCCCAGATAAGTTCCAGGAGCTGCAGAGGCTGTCAGAGGAGCTTCAGAGCTGCAGGTCCCTGGGCAAGTCTTTCCTCCGAAGTGAGAACCTCAGGGCTGATGCAGATCCAGGCAAGGTGACAGCACAGCTGCAGCCACAGCACAAGTTGACTCCTGTTACTGCCCTAATCCTCCCGCATAAGCAGGAGAAGTTGGGGGTTTGAAGTTTGAAGTTCCAGGATTTGAACTTTGAAGTTCTCCGTGCATTCCTTTGTCATTCCTTCACAGAGTATTCAGCAAATAGCTAAGTACCTCATTGTTCCAGGTCTGGCTCTGGGCCCTGGGCTTACAGCAACAAACAGAACAACCAAAGTCTCTGCCCTGGTGGCGCTTACATTCCAGTGGGGGAGACGGACAATGTGTAGCACAATGTCAAGGAGCAGTGAAGTAGAAGAGGAAAGCAGAGAGGGGGATACAGTACTAGGGCTAGAGACTTAGAGGTCCAGGCAGGCCTATCTAAGAAGGAGCATTTGAGTAGAATCAGCATATGAGCTAGCCAGGGAGCTAGCAACGTGAATGTCTAGGTTGCAGGCAGAGGGAACGGCAAGCTCATAGACCTGAGATGGGATTGCGTGGGAAGCAGCAAGTAGGGTGACGACACATCAGGGAGAGAGAAGAGTGGGAAGAGCCAAGGCTGCTTGAGGGGCCAGACCTTGCCACCTTGCCAGCTGTTGAAGACAGCTAGGGTTTTGTTCTTTGCCCAGCTCTAAGGTATGTTTCAGGCATTGTTCCTGGCTGGCTGGCTCTAAATATGCGGCCCTCCCAGAGAGCCTTTGATGGACCCAGTATCCTCCTATGTCATCCCTTTGCTGGCTGAGCTAACCACTGTTTGTTCTGTTGTCTGCAATTGTGAACCTGCCTAATACAGAACTTTGGAGGAGGAGGAGAGCGCCACCTACATTTATAATTGAATATTGACCAGTTTTATAGGGAAACTAAATAGGTTTTTAAGGTTGGAAAAGATTCACTTTGATATTATATTAAAATGTTTAAACTTTGGTAGAAAGGGTTCCACCTTGGCCATGGAAAGGGGCTTTTGTTATCAGTGTTTCCTCCCCTAGGAGCCAGGAGCCTGGGCTCGGTCTCCTCCTCACCTGCCAGCCAAGGGCCTAAGCCGATCACCCCTTCCTTGCTTGACCTTCCTGGTCTCACCCGTATAATTCAGTTAGTCATATTATTCCTGCCAGAAGGGAAAGAGGAAGAAAGAAATGACTTACTGAGGTCCTTTCCATGATGGAGGTCTCTGATGCCGCAAATAAGTTCCACAGAAGGTTCTTAGGGGGTTAGGACTGTTCCACTGGAGTTATGTCCAGTGGGGGGTGATTTATCTTTATTTTATGCATCCTCCCCCCACTTTTTTTGCTTTCAAAACACTTTTACTTCTGTCCTTGATCTCTGTAAAAGAGCTCTGTATGTTATAGTGATTAAGAGCACGGAAAAGCAGATACGGTACTGAGTGCCAGGTCCACTTTTGCTAACTTTGTCACTTTGGGCATATCCCCTAACCAGCCTGTTCCACAGTTTCCTCTTCTGAAAATGGGCATGAAAATAGTAGTTACTGCAAAAGGTGCTGTGAGAATAAACATGATAATGTACCCAGCACAGTGCCTGGCCCGAGTACAGCCTCCCTGAAGGTCAGCTGTAATGATTATGATATGTAATGATTCCCACCCAGCAGGCAGGAAAGCTAGCCCATGGAGGTTAAGTGACTTGCCTATGGTAACCTGATAAAGCCAGAGATAGAAGCCAGGGCTCACGGAGTCCCAGGCCAGTGGTCTCTCCCCAGGATTCCTGTTGTTTTTTAGGAGGAAATGTTAATATAGACAGACAGTTCTGTCTGTGTCTAACCCCTTAGCAGCTGGTTCTGACTTTTGCAGGGGATTGGGGGGCAGGACTTCCTCAGCAC